ACACACACACACACACACACACATAAATAAAATTTAAAAAAAAATTACAGGGGGCTGGGCACATAGCTCAATAGTAGGGATTTCAATCCCTAGTACCATAAATCAATCATTCACTCGAACTTTAATAAAGATACAAAATATTTGTTCATTTATTTGTCTTTTTGAGACAGGGTTTCACTATGCAGTTCAGGCTGGCCTCGAACTCACAGCAATCCTCCTGCCTCAGCCTCTTCAGGGCTGGGATTACAGGTGTGTACTACCATGCTCGGCCCAAAATAATTTTACTAAAATTACAAGGGCTGTAGGTGTAGTTCAGTGGTGGAGCCCATGCCTAACACGTGGGAAGCCCCGCATTACATCCCCAGCACCACAGAAAACAAGACAGGTATACATTTCCTCACAAACACCACCATCCCCCATCCTCAACCTCTTTTCCTACTTTAATTTCTTTATAATACTTACATTTCTCTTCTATAAATCTTATTTTGCCTATCTCTTTATTTCTCCAAACTAAAAGCTCGATGAAGGTAGGAATTTGTGCTTGTTATGTTTATTGCCCCCTGTATCTGTTGAATAGATGAAGTGTCATCATTCACTGAGTGACCTTAAGGACTTAAGGACATGTAACGCCATCAACCCGCCATCTAGTTGACTCAACCTGTTTCATATTTCATGCTTATGCTTAAAATGGGCCCTGGTTCAGGATCAGCCCACCCATCCATCAAGGAACTCCTCAGACTGCCCTGCCGTAGCTACGACGTAAAGCTGTAGACTAGGAACTTCCTAGACACTACGGAAGGGTTGCTGGGTTGCTATGGTTACCGCGTCGGCCTGGAGCGTAATCTCCCCAGAGTGCCACGCCCTCAACCTGGAGGAGGTTTTAGTTCCCAAGCACCGCAGCACAGGGGCGGGGCTGGAAGGCAGCAAAGAGGTTTACCTAACGCCCCTCCACTTCACCCACGCAGTTGTCATGGAGACGAAGTGCTTTCCCCCTCCTCCGGCTGCGCTTCTCAAAAAAAAAAAAAAAAAACCTTTTGCGTATTTAGGAGGGCAAAATGGGCTGGAAGACTGTCTGAAAGGCAGAGACGCCGCTCGTTCATTATTTCTCCTACTCTAGGGATTGCTATGGCCTGCGCTGGGTCCTCGTCCGGAAAACACATCCCTGGGGAGCAAAGGACACGCATGCGTTCGACAGAGTTTTACGCGTGCGCGGTTATAGCACTAGGAAGCCGGGGGAACCCAGTGCAGCGCTAAATTTGCGGCTGCGCAGCTGCAGCCAGCCCCGGAGCCGGGTGGAGGGCAATTCTGCGCTTGCGCCGAGTTGAAGGGTGGGAAGGAAATCCAGGCTGTCAGGGCTTCGGGCGGGCTAGCAGTGGGCGCGCGTGCGCCTTGGCAAGGAGCGGCCGGGGGCGGGGCCCCGAGCCGAGAGGGCGGAGGGAGGGAAGAGGCCGCAGAAGCCAGAGCCCTGACCCACCGGCTGGCTGGGGCTGCGGCGGCTCCGGTGAGTGACCCGCGGCCCGACTCGGTTCCCAACCTCCGCAACCCTCACTCCTGGAATCCCAGATAGCCTCCGTTGTCCTCGTCTGATCTCGGACCCCCGTTATCTCCAGAGCGCCCCTCCTTAATTTCTGACAATTCTAGCGCCCCACAGTCTCCGCAGACCCCAGTCCTTAATGTGTTTTATGGTCTCAGCTCTATCACTGCCCCTGGAGTCCCGTCTCATGGCTGTTCCTGGACGTCCTCTCAGGCCCCTGCTCATACCGGTCTTGCGCCCTATTGCCCTCGGAACCCCTAGAGCGCTCCTCTGGACTAGATGCCCCTCTGCTTTGCTGCATCTCCCCCCTTCAGCGTCTCCTTACCCCCATGCCTCGACCCGCAGGACACCGCATTCTCTTTCCCTCTCCTCTGCGCCCGTTCTCCCCTACTCCAGCAGACACCTCCTCTCCTTCCACTTTCCCTCCACACCCTCCCCCAACGCCATCAACTCCTCAGCAAGGTCTTTTGCGCCCAGAGGAGCCCGCGCTGAGAGCTCGGCCCGCGCCCGCTGGTAGTGGGCGCTTCTGACTGTCCCCCCACCCCCGGCCGGGCGCCCCACCGCGGCCCCAGGGTCATAGTAGGAGCCCGTGTCGCGGCGTCTGGGGGACCGCGAGCCCCCGCCAGCGCTGTACGCCCTTTGCCTGCAGCGCCGGCGCCCCCCATGCGGCAGGCTGCCGGACGGCGTCGTCGGGGGGCGCCATGGCCTCCGCGGCGGCGGGCGAAGCGGAGGAGACCACCCGGCTGCGCAAACCGCGCTTCTCGTTCGAGGAGAACCAGATCCTGATCCGGGAGGTGCGCGCCCACTACCCGCAGCTCTACGGCGCGCAGAGCCGTCGGGTGAGCGTGGCCGAGCGTCGGCGCGTGTGGGACGGCATAGCCGCCAAGATCAATGGCATCACCAGCTGGAAGCGCACTGGCCAGGAGGTGCAGAAGCGCTGGAATGACTTCAAGCGCCGCACCAAGGAAAAGCTGGCCCGCGTGCCGCACTCCACGCAGGGTGCAGGCCCGGCCGCCGAGGACGCCTTCTCCGCGGAGGAGGAGACCATTTTCGCCATCCTGGGGCCCGGTGTGGCGGGGACGGGGCCTGGTGCTGGGGCGGAGGAGCCACCTGCAGCTGCCTCCTCGCAGCCACCGGCCCCAAGCGCCTGTGCCCAGCGCTGTGTGTTGTCAGAGGAGCGCAGGGAAGACCGAAGGGCAGGTGAGTTTCCTCACCATCGCCTTAGCAAATGCAAACACAAAGTCCACTATTTCTGGAGCTGATCCAAGTCCTTCGTGTGACTAATCAGGTCCTCACTAAAATCTTGGGAGACGGGTGCTGTTAATCTCCATGTCGCAGTTGGGAGAATTAAGCTTAGAAAAATGAAACGAACTTGTCTCAGATCCCCTAACTAGTGACTGTCAAGAGTCAGAAATGAAACCAGACCTAAGAGTCCTGGCTCAGGGCCAACTTGGGATCCCTGCACAGGCAGATCTTTGCCGCTCAACTGTGTCATCCTGGGAAGTTACTGCACATCATTTTCTACATCTGTAAAGGGAAGATAAAAATAATCTACACCTCCAGGGCTTACTGTGAAGACTTAAGTGAGTTCACATGGGCAGATTGCTTGGTATAGCGTTTCTAGAACATTCATGATTAACTCTTGTGTCATTGGAGGGGGTGGTTTTAATCAGAATTGAACCCAGGACCTCACACTTGCACAGCTGAGTATAACTCGGGCCTCATTGTTAACTCTTGATACCACTGTTGAGGTTGGAGAAGTACTAATAATTTCACCATTTTATAAATTGAAGATTCACAGAGGTCTGGTAACTGTCTCAAGGTCATGCCTCCAGTCCAGGCGGTGTGGAGAACAGGCTCCTGAGACTTTTTGCTTATCCTTGGCTCTCAATTATCATCTCTGCTACTATTGTTTCTCGGGCATCTGCCCAGTGGTGGGTGAAGTTAAGGGCATGCTGGTGACATTGGAGAGACAGCAACTCAAGAGTGACAGGCCTTGGGGCCGGGGAGATGGCTCAGTGGAATAAGCGCTTCCCTGGCAAGTGCAGGGGCCCGAGTTCAATCCCTGACTCTGAAAAGAGTGACAGGCTTGACGTAGGCAAGGCTGTGGGACCCCAGAGCAGGCAACTACCACAGCCTGGGGGGATGGAGAAGGGCTTCCTGGAGGAGGGTGTGGTGGAGCTGAGGTACAAAGAGTAGGAATGAAGAAGAGCTGGGAAAGGAAACAGCTTATGCCGCATGGAGGGAAGAAAGCTTGGCTAGTTTAGGTAAAGACTGAAGAATGTTTTGAGATAGGGTCTGAGGTTAGCAGAGGCTCGGGCCCTGCTGAGCCTTGAGGTTAAAGTGAGGGATTTGGAAGGGAAGAGCTTAGAGATGATCAGACCAAGACAGTTCAAGATTTGGGGGGCTCATTCGTTTGCCTAAGATTGTACAGCAGTAGAGACTCAGACACTGATGTGTGTCCATCTCCCCATCCGTGTACTTAACCCGTGACCTAACTTGTCCATAACTAACAGTTAACGCTGACAGCTAGTGGGTTTGGTAGAATAGATTAAGCAGGACTCATAAGGTCCACGCTTGGGATTTCCTCTTGTTGGGATTTCTTTTGGTGGTACCAGGGATCGAACTCAGGACCTTGTGTTTGCCAGGTAAGCACTTATTCCACTGAACTATCTCCCCAGCTCCCTGAACTTCATCCTGTGAGCCTTCAAGGGACATGAAAGTGTCAAGCAGGAGACATAGTCATTGGGGACCCTTGTTCTGAATTTCACTCCCAACTTCAGTAGGGTTTTTTTGTTTGTTTGGAGTACTAAGGATTTAACCCAAGGTATTCACACTGAGCTACATCCTCAGTCCTTTCTGTTTTCGTTTTGAGATACGGGCTCACAAAGTCATTAAGTTGTTCCTTTTTCTTTTTTTTTTTTTTCATTTTTTGTACCAGGGATTGAACTCAGGGCCTTACGCTTGTGGGGCAGGCGCTTATGCCACTCAGCTGTATCCCCATCCCAAATGTCTGCAAGCTGGGCTCTAACTTTGGATCCTACTACCTCAGCCTCCCCATGTGCTAGGATCGCAGGCATGATCTACTATACCTGGCTAAACCTTGGTATTTCTACCTGAGAAAAGGTCCCATTGCACCACAGGAAAAATGACAAAACTTTTTGTCACAAATTGTGCAGCCAAAAAAAAAAAGAAAAGAAATTGTGCAGCCACTTGATTTATTGGTTCAATAAATCTGTATTAAGAACCTTTTCCAGGTGCTGAGAATACTATGGAGAAAAAGACAAACCCCTTTCCTTATGAGTCTGACACTGTAAGTGGGGGAGACAGCATAAACAGCCCCCCAAACAGATGCTACATCAGAAAATGGCAAGAATTATGGAAAGAAATAAAGCGTATTGGGAGGGCAGTACATGACGGGAGGAGGCTGTATAGACATAGGAAGGGTTTTTCCGGGGATGTGAAATCAAACTGGGACCTGAATAGGAAGCTTGAGCCTGGTAGCTGTTTGGAAGGAGAGCACTCTAGCTAGAGGAAAAGGCATGTGCAAAGGGCCTGAGACAGGAACATGCTCAGAGGACCTTTAATTACACTCTTACTACACTCTTAAAACTTTTTTAAAAGAGGGACTGATGTGATTGAAGGACGGGACTGATGTGATTGAAGGACGGGAACAGGGCCTAGCACAGCCTACAGCAGCCTGAGCCTGCCTTGTTGGCCCCAGACAGAAAGCTAAGAACCATTTATCTTTGATATATTTTCAAGTGAGAGAGAGCCTGCAGTATCTAGTGAGTCCCTGTGTGGCCCTGGGGGAGATGTTCTGTTATTACCAAGGTAATCTGTTCTGTTATTGGTTGCCTAGTCTCACCTGCACATACATTCATTTACACATGGGAAAACTGAGGCCCTGAGGTTGCCAATAAATATGATACTGGATTTCTTGGTGGCCCTTCCATGACTCTTGAGCACTGTGAGTATGAAGGCCAGGGGTTGGGTGGCTTCAGTAAGGAGAGTGCACAGTAGCTGTCCAGTAAAAGCCCTGCTGTCCTCTCTCCCTGCCTGCCCAGCCAGCTGCTCTGGGAAGCTGGGCTCCCAGCATGGAAGGGAGGAGGCAGCTGCAGTCCAAGGAAGACCAAGGTAATCTGATGGGGCAAGGACAGGGGTCAGGCTTCTCTGAGGAAGGGACTTTCAAGCTGGCCAAGGGGCAGTGCAAGGTGGGTGATGCTGGAGGAGAGAACAATGTGTGTGGTGGCCCTGAGGCAGGGAAGAGGTGAATAGCAGCAGTGGTGACAAAGGTTGAGGCTGTAGCTGGGCATGGTGGTGCATGCCTGTAATCTCAATACTCAGGAGGCTGAGGCAGGAGGATCACTGTGAGTTCAAGGCCAGCCTGGGCTACATAGTGAGACCTTTCTCACAAAAAGAAAAAGTGGTAGAGTCTGGGTATGGTGGCACTCAACCTGTAATACTGATACAGGGAAGTGAAACTCCCGACCTGACCTGGATGAGTTTGTGTGCTCTAAAACCGAAGAATGAGTTTTAGGAACAAACGGAGGTTGAGGGTAAAACCTTGTTGGAAAGGAAAGCTTGTTCTTTTTTTTTTTTTTTTTTTTTGGCAGAACCAGGGATTGAACTCAGGCCCTTGCACTTGCCAAGGAAGCACTTATTCCACTGAGCCATCTCCCCGCCTGGAAAGGAAAGCTTCTGTGGAAGAGGGTTAGAATAGGATCCTGAGTGAGTTGCCCAGGAAGCTGTCTGGTTATTTTTGCATGTTATTTTTATAGGGCAAAACCATGTGGGGCTAAGGTAGAAAAAAGGGGGTCTTGCTTAGGTGGATGCAGGGTGGGACAAAACTATGGTCAGCCAATGGGATTATGAGCACCATTGCTCAGGAAAATTGATTAGGCCCAGGACCAAATGGGGTAGCGAGTCACATAAGAAGCGGGCATCATTGTAAAACAGGACCTTATCTGGGGGTCACCAGACAGTGATTCTTCCTGAGTAATGCTCAGTCCTGGATGCCAGTCTTTAGGGAGGTTAGCATTTTAGTCTTTAGGTCTGGTTCACAGCAGGAGCATCTGTCCCTCCCACAGATGTAAGATGTCTGGTTTTGTTACCTCCTTTGAGGGCCTGACCCTGCCTGACTGCCTATAATATTTCTCTTATTCAGGCTGCCTGCAACAATGCCAGCACTCTTAAGAGGCTGAGACATGAGGATTGCAAACTCCAGTTCATCTGGGAAACTTGAAGAGTTAGTGAGACCCTGGTTTACACATATTTTCAGGGGCGAGACATGTACCTTGGTGACATAACGTCTCTGGGTTTGATTCCCAGTGGTGTGGGGGAAAAGAAAAGATGGATGTAATTCTAGGTTTTGAGTAAATAAGAAAACCCTGCCTGATGGAGCTGAAATCGGGAAAAAGAGACAGAAAACTGATCAACTCTATGTCAGGGGGAGGTGAGAATGAAATGAAATGAAATCAGGTAGAGGGCCAGCCAAATAGATCAGGATTGATTAAAGCACCTACAAGCAGGCACAGGGGCCAGGGGTTCGATCCCTGGGCCTGCTGTGCCAGTTCTACCCCCAGGGCGCACTGAGACAGCAATTGAGACTGGGCATGGTGGCGCACCCTGTAATCCCAGCTCTTGGGAGGCTGTAAACAGGCAGATCACTCCAGTCCTATCTAGTAGTGAGACCCTGAACACCCTGTAGACCCTTCTCTAAAATACAAAAGAAAAAAGAAATCAGGTAGGACCAGAGCAGAGAAAAAGAAAGGGCTGGCAGCTTCTTCACATGACTAGCAGAGGCTTTGTGTCAGCTTGACCCAGGGACTTGAAGGTGAGAAAAGCCAGGAAGGTGTCTGGGAAAGGCCAGGGGATCTGCATGTGCAAAGGGCCTGGGGCAGGAGTGGTCCTTGTGCACTGAAGACCAGCAAGGAGGCCAGTGTGACCAGAGCTGTGAGGAAGAGGGAGTTGAGGTCAGGGCAGCACCAGAGGCAGATCAGGTAGTCCTTGGGGCTTCAAGGACTTCCTTCTGCCTTCAGCAGGATGGGAGGCTCTGGACGGTTTAACAACAGAAAGTATCTGGTTTGTATTTGGCTTGAATTTTTTTTTTTAATGTATTTGGTACAGGGTCTCACTATACAGCTCAGACTCATAGTGATCCTCCTGTTTCAGCCTCCCCTGGGATTACAGGCATGCACCACCAAGCTGGGTCTCAGTGGTGGGCTTAGTATCTCTGGGGGCAGGGCTGGCACGGAATGTGGTGCCTAGATTGAATCCAGTCCCTGTGCTTGCCTAGGCAGGCACATAGTCTGCTGAGCTATTTCACCAGCCCTTTGGCTTGAATTCTAAAAGCAGTTTTATAGAGCTTAAATTTCCATACCATACAATTAAATGCTCTTAACACAGCGAGGCCCTGGGTTGCATCCCCAGCACTACCCCCAACAAATAAAATTTAAATAAGGTATTCGAGCCAGGTGTGGTTGGGTTTTATCTGCCTGTGATCCTGGCAGGACTGCCATGAGTTCAAGGCCAGCGTGAACTACATAGCAAGACCTTGTCTCAAAGAAAAAAATTACACAAAAATAAGGTGTGAAATTCAGTGGCTTTTAGTGTATTCAGAATTGTGCAACTTTTTCATCCTTTCAAAAAGAGCCCCCTGGGGCCAGGGTATATGGCCTGCCTGGCAATCACAAGGTCCTGAGTTTGATTCCTGGTACCAAAAAAAAAAAACAAAAACAAAACAAAGACCTCCTTCACCTGAGCCATTTTGCACATCTCCAGCCCTAGAGAGCCACCAGTTTATTTTATCTATAGATTGGCCTGTTCTAGACATGTCATAGGAATGGAATTGGTGCAGTCTGTGGTCTTTTATGTTGAGCTTCTGTCCTGCACCCAGCATGTATTTCTGGTGGCCCCTCTGGGCTTCAGGAGGGGAAGAGATTGATTGTGGTAGGGGTAAGAACAACAGAGTACAGTAAAGAGACCAAACACAGTCCCGTGGGTGGGAAGTACAGGGGTTGAGAGAAGAGGTCAGGGGTTGGGTTTTATCTGCAGACAGATTCTTTGGCTAGTGCACATGGATGGTATCTGGAGAAAGACAAGGGAGGTATTTCTGCAGCTGGAAGGGTGGTGCTGTGGCCAGCAGAGAGGAGCGCAGGATCCACAGCTCTCTCGGAGCCAGTGAGTCAGAGCTTCATGTGCCCAGGACACAGCTGGAGATGCTGCAGAGCAGAGCTCAGCTCTGACGCTCAGGCTGCCCAGGAATCTGGAAGTCCTGCTGCAGACTGTGCTAGGCCATGTGTGGAAATGAGATCCCAGTCGCTTGGAGGCCGGGGAGCCCGGCAGCTGGGGGTTCAACTGGGAAGTCCTGCATCCTGGTTGGAGACAGCTGCCAGTAGTGCCCCCAGGACTCTGGCCCCACTTCTCTCCCAGTCCTCCATCTCCCCAGGGTCCGGCAGTGCAGCCTGAAAGGAATGGGGGCTAATGTCCAGGGAGTTCAGGGCCTCTTTGGTGAGGTGAGACCCTGTTTGCACCATAGCCGGCACAGGGCCAGCCAGGTTAAATGTATCTGGTGTCCTGTTAGGGTAGACTGACAATCACAGGGTGCTGCTCTGAGCCATGAGCTGGCTTCGGTTTGAAAAGGAACACTGAGGAAGCCGAGGCCGATGGCCCCCGCTTGTAATCCCACCACTCTGGAGGAGGACTGTAAGTCAGAGAACACCCAGGGCTACAGGGTGTGTTTAAAGCCTCCCTAAACTACATAGTAAGACCCAGTCTCAAAGGAAAAGAAAAAATAATAGTAGAATAAAAAGATCACTTTGGAGCCAGGGTAGAGGACACGGGAACAAAAGAAAGGAGAAATCAAGACGACCTTGCCAGGTTGTGCATGGAGGGGGTGATCAAAATACCAGTGAATGTTCATGTTTTAAAATTTTATTACTGGACCTGCCAAATAGCTCAGTGGATTAAGTCACCTGCAAACAGGCGCAGGGGCCCTGGGGCCCGCTGAGACTGCAGTTGAGACTGGGTGTGGTGGTGTGCACCCATAATCCCAGTTCTTGGGAGGCTGTAAACAGGCAGATCACTACGAGTCTGATCTAGTAGTGAGACCCTGAACACCGGGTCGCCCCTGCCCTAAAATACAAAATAAATAAATACAATAAAATTCTATTACCCTAAAAGACTCATCACCATTATCCCCAAGATAGTCCCCCACTCTTCAGACATACCCCAGTGTTTTTGCCACTTCCTGAAGCAGTTCTGCAAGGCTTTTCCTGGGTACCTTTATGAAGTGAGATCAAAAGCCCAGTGAATGTGGCTACCAAGTGCCATCCAGCGGAAACGCAGACGCCTGCGGTGGCCCTTGTGCACCTAACGGCATTGTGTGTTTCTGGCTTTCCCATAAAGTTGGAATGACTAGGAAAGGTAAATATTTTGAATCAACTTAGGATATGGAAGCGGCCATGAGCGCACCAGTGAAGACACGGAAGAGGACTTCCAGAACTGCTTCAGAAAGTGGCAGGAGTGATGGGAGAAGTGTTTAAAGCAGGAGTGGATATTTTGAGGGGGATTTATGGCAGTGTATCTTTAAAGTTCAGCTTGCTTTTTGATTACCCCAAGTACCTTTATCTCTCTTTCTCTCTGGCAGATACACCTGCCCACAGCAAGGGGGGCTCCAGCAGCCCGGAGCCTTGGGTCCGGCCCTCCTGCAATCCCCAGGAAGGGGGCTGCCCACCATCCAAGGAGCGTGAGTCCCCACCCCCTCCAGCCTCGCAGACTGTCCAACTACCCCGCCTGGCCTTGTCTCCACCGCCCTCCGTCCCTCCTCCGCCACCCCAGCCACCGGCACAGGTGGCACCCACGTCCCCCAGCCCCCCACCAGCTCCTCCTGGGCCTCCGTCCATGCCTTCGGCCCCAGACCCCTCCCTGGACTTCCTGCGAGCCCAGCAGGAGACTGCCAACGCCATCCGGGAGCTGGCTGGCACCCTTCGGCAGGGATTGGCCAAACTGAGCGAGGCCCTCAGTGCCCTGCTGCCCCTTCTGCCAGGAACCCCAGTCGACCCGCTGCCGCCCCCACCTCCACCCCCACCTCCCCGGCCAGTCTTGCCTCCACCTGCCCCCAAGGTGGAGGTCTCCCCAGAACCTGTCTCCGTGGTGGCTACTGTCGTGGATGGGGCTGTGGTGGCCTCCAGGGGGGTGATCATCGCCCCTCAGAGTGCAGAGGGGGCACCCCGGCCACCCCCAGCCCCACTCCCTCTACACGACTCACCCCCACACAAGAGGAGAAAAGGGTTCCCTACGCGGAAGAGGAGGGGCCGATGGAAAGCTCCGTGAAATCTCTGCGCGCTCCTTCTGCCTGCACCCCTACTCCCTGCTTGGCGCAGACAAGGGGGGGGCGATGCTCCTTGCCATCCCAGTTGCTCCCTGGCTCCCCGCTCCAGGGAGTGAGCGCCCCACTCCCTGTGCTAGTTAGTGCCTGATTCTCTGGGGGGTTCTTGATGGGCTCCCCCAGCCCCTTTCTCTGGTACAGTGCTGTCTGCCTGGCTGCCTCCCTTCACCTTGACTTCTAAGCCATCATTTTTACCTTATGTATTATATTGCCCTTTGTGGGGTGGGGAGGGAACCTCTCGGGTCTGCACACACCCCACCCCTAACAATTCCTGTTCTTGACTTGAAGAGAATTGACCTGTGGAGGCCAATTCTCCCCAACCCAGACTTTGGAGGGGTTGGGAGTTGCTAGACAAATCAGAATGTGGGTGACAAAGAGGATACACCTGTCTGTACACTAGGGAGAGGGGTAGAGTTCTGCCTGGGGGGATGGGTTGGGCCCTCTGCCTTCCATCGCCATCTCTAACCTCTCGAGCTCAGCCCCCTCCTTTCTCCTCAGTGGTGACAAGATACCAATAAACTTATTTTTCATGCAATCACTTGGGCTCTGTCTGAGACAGGCCTAGGGGTCCAGCATCTGGAGCTGGAAGTTAGGGAGGCTGGTGCTTGATTTGACTAAGCTGGTTTGTCCTCCCTCAGTCCCCAACAACAACAAAAAGCCATCAAGTTTTTATCAATGAAATCTTACTCTGCCTGATCCTTCTGATGCCAGCCTAAATGTCACCTCTTTCAGGAGAACTTCACGGATTCCATCCTCCAGGCTGAGACTGGCTTGGCTGCTTCCACTCTTTGTTTCAGGGTTGGCTGGCTCTTTCTCACAGTGTCCCTTAAGCAAGCATGCTTTATCTGTTCGAGGTCCATTTCCCCTGAAGTCTCAGGAAGGCAGGAATCGGTTCTCTTGTACTTGCGGACCTGCTGCAGTAGAGGCACGGTCTATCATCTATGAAATGATAATAAAGATTTAAAAGTGTCCACTCGGCCCACCCCCCCC